CCGCAGAAAGAGATGTTTTGCATGGCGGCCTCTAGCGGTGACGCTCCGGGGACCATTGCCTGGTAGACTAGCATGAGCGGCTGGGGCAGACGTTCACAGAGTGTCTCGCAATGAGAGATCTGGTCTTCGTAGCGAGCATTTGTCTGCTCTAGTGGGTGGGCAACAGGTGCGTGGGCCATGGGTAGCCCGGATGTTGGACGAAGCATCCCTCAGCGGCTGATCGTTACCGACACGCGTCGCCGGGACATTGTGGCGGTGACGCCCAGTGGCATACGTGGGCCGGTGTTTCGGTTGGCGTGGTGCCCTCGGTCCCTCGGTCTATCAGGGTAGCGGCCGGTTCGGCCCGGCCCGACCCGGCCCGGCCCGCACCGGCCCAACCTGGCTCACACCGGCCCGGTCTGCCTTGAATTGACTGCGCTGTCTCCCATGGCTGACACCCGTCTCCCGTGGCCGACGCCCATCTCCCGTGGCTGACGCCCGTCTCCCGTGACTGACGCCCGTCTCCCGCGGCTGACGCCCGTGTCCCATGGCTGACGCCCATCTCCCGTAGCTGACGCCCGTGTCCCGTGGCTGACGCCCATACCCCATGGCCCGTCTCGCCCGGCAGAGCACTCGACGACGCGGCGCTGCAGCAGTTCCTGGCGGGCGGCTCGCTGACGCTGCGCGGCCATCAGCTCACTCCCGATGACGTGCACGTGCGCTACAGCGTCGGCAACGACGGCCCGGCTCTCAGCCAGTACGAGGCCCACTCGGACAACGACGTACGTGACTGGCGCCGGCCGGCGTCGCTGGGGGGGGGGGGGGAGGGGGAGGGGGCGCGGCCGGCGACGGGCGGAACGGGATCGGATGCGACGGCGGGGCGCGTGCCAGTGGACCTGCGCAGGAAGTGGGCCGCAGGCGGCGTGGCATTTGTGTATGCAATAGCAGCGTCTAACGAGCTGCTATCGTTGCAGTATAAGTTGCAAGGCATTTAGTGCGCTTGAATATTGGCCGATTTCCTTCATCGTTTGCGCGTGGTGCTTGTCACGTTCGACTTAGTAGTCGGTGGAAGTTGATCCCAAATAGTGATGCTTCACAAATCGTGTGACGTACTCAGCCGCGTAGCGTATGACTGCGTTCCTTGGTCAGATATCACTGCGGAAACGCACGTCACATAATGGTGTTTTACGCGTGGTGAGTCGCCCAGGTGCGTGACGTCTGACAGCTGTCGCCGTATTCAGATTCTCGTGCTGGTGGACACCACGCCCGACCAGTCGATGCTGGACGAGGGCGTCGCCCGCGAGATCATCAACCGAGTCCAGAAACTGCGCAAGAAGGCCTCGCTGGTGCCGACCGACGAGGTGGGACGGCGCTCACCAGGCGCGGGGCGGCTGCGACTCGGGCGAGTGTGAGGCGCACAGCGCCGCCTGGACGGGTCGCGGTCACGTGGTGACGGCCGATCAGGGGCGGCGGGGGTGAATGCTCCACTGGATATACCGCTGAGACTTGTGCCAGGTCCCGTGCCTGGTTGGGGATTGGAGCCTGGTACAGCCCTCAAAGAGGGATATGAAACGTCGCGCGTCACTAAAGGCGTTATGCAGTTGAATGAGCGTGTAAGCACCGCATTTGAAGCAGCGTCACTCCATCACAACGCATCTGCCGATGGAGCAGCAAGCTCATGCGTCTTGCCGCGGCCAGCGTGTGGCGTCTCGCTGTGTGCCGCGCGGCGCCCTGCTCGGGCCGTGGCCATGACGCCGCCGCCCCGCGTGCCGACAGATCACCGTGTACCAGGCCGTGGCGCCGGCCGGGTCGGCCCTGGCCCGCGTGGCCGCCTCCCACCAGGAGTACATCGAGGCGGCGCTGAAGGCGCCGTTCCGGCCGCTGGCGTCGCGCGCCGGCCGCACCATCATCGAGGAAACGGCAGACGTACGTGGCCAAGGCGGAGCGGAGCGGCGGCGGTCACCGGCCCGTGGTCGGGATCGGGCCCTCCTCGGTAGCCGGACGAGGCCTGGGGGTGCTCACGGCGGCCGCTGCCGCGTCGGACCGCTCAGTGTGCGGCCGGGGGCTGGTTGGCCGGCTAGGCCGCGCCGGGTGCAGGGAACGGCGTGCCCGCACCTCTCCCACTCGCCCTATGGTTATGCTGAGCTTTCTGTCCGTATTCTGGAGGTTGGCGCCAGAGTATGTAAGGGGTAGGATATAAGGATGATAGGATAACAACGTGGCGGGTACGCAAATCGAATATTGGGTCGTACACCGAAGACATCATTGCAATCCGAGATTGCGATCTTGCCAATTAACTATTTCATTCTTAATCGCGATAAGGATCCTTCCCCTTTGCGCACCTTACTCCAAGATGTTTTGAACCAGCAAGAAATGCGAATCGCCATCAACGTTAACATGCCATTGCCCCACATGTGCTGCATGCCAAGATGCCTGATATGAGCTATTCTGGCAGTGCGTACGACAGCGAGACTTTCCGAAATGTAACGGTAGCGGACATCGTGTAACTTGGTAATATGTAACTGGGCAATATTTGCACGCTCGTCACGCTTCCATGTGTTATGTGGGCGCCAGCTGCGGAGGTGCCGAGGACCTGGCACCGTCTGGGTGCTCCACAGGTGAAGGGTGCGAAGCTGACGGTGGCGCTGGCGGCCGGCTTCTGCGCGGACTGGACGGCGCAGTCGGCGGCCGAGGCGACCGCCAACGGGGACAAGGTCCAGCCGTTCTGCAGGTGGGACGACCGGGCGTCTGACGCTGGCTCCCCGACTCGTGTTGGCCGCCGCACACGGTGCGCTGTTCGTGTTCGGGTACGGAGTTGGCCGGTCCGAGACGGCCGATGTCATTGTCTCGCCAATACGGCAAGACGTTGGCCAACATCCGCAGAGGTTTGCGTCATGGGGTCTCGACTCCCGCCGGACTGTTAAAACGGCTGCATGCCTCGGCGCGGAGGAGTGGTTACCGAGGCGCATGCAAGGTGGGATGGGACTGGCGAATCTGGCGATCGCTATCTTCCGCATGGCGTGGATGGCGCATTGTGTAGGCCGACGGTATTCAGACTGCGCGCGTCTGGGCGGACGGTGCCCGGACTCTGCGCGGGTCGCCGGGCGGGTGTGGCTGACGGTCGCCGTGCGCCCGGCGCCTCCGGCAGGTACGTGAATCTGGAGCTGATGGACGCCGAGCCGGCGAACGGCGCGCGCTCCGCCCGCGCCGCCCTGCTGCTGGAGAACCCGGCCGGCCAGAACCAGCTCAGCGTGGCGCAGCTGCACACGGAGGCGCAGGTTGGTCGGTCCCCGGCGACGGCGTGCGCCGCTGTCCGCCGCCGAGCGAGCCGGCGGTCAGCCCCACACGTGTCCTGCGGCCACCGGTGGACGGGGGAGAGCGCCGCGTGTCGGTGGGCTCCGCTGGCCGCACGGCGACCCAGAGGTGCGAGGCCAGGGCGCGCCTTATGAGGAGCAGTGTCGCTTGTGGTCAGCAGTTCGTTTAGCTGACCATTCATGACAACCGTTGGTACTGATATTCAGGACGAGTGTTGGTAGGCAGGTGACGATATTGGTGGGGCGCGTCTGATGTCTGGGGTGTGCAGCGAGCACGGCTGTGGGGCCGTGCGCGCTGTCGGAGCCGAGAGCGAAGCCCGCCGCCAGCGCGCGCCGCTGCCTTGTCGGTAACCCGTCGTGTTGGCCGGCAGCTGGTGTTCGGCCAGCAGCGGCGCAAGGTGTTCATATACGACGGCCCGGACGCGACGCAAGAGGTGGCGGCGCCGGCCGAGCTGGCTGGCCGCACGCTCTACGTGTACACGCGGCCCGACCTGCGGCAGGGGGCGGCCTCCAGTCCGGCCCGAGCGGCCGTCCACACCAGGTACGCACGCGCTGTACCGCCAGCGCACGCCGTCGGCTGGTTGTAGGTGGCGCACACTGGCCGTGCAGGCCGGGGACCGTCCGGAGACCGGAGTGCACCTGACCCAGAGCTGCCTAGTGGATTGCTCGTGATCTCCTCCATGAACCCAGGCGTCACATGAAGGGATCACGATGCAGGGTTGATTCAAGTGGGCAGTGTTGGTGCTGGGCATCATCTAGGTCCGGCCGCCACAAAGACGTCCATGCCAGTGGTCACTGTATGCTGTGCGTGGACCACCAGCCGAGCGCCCGGTATCCCGAGCTCGCGGCCCGTGTCCAGGTGACCAGGAAGCCCACCATCAGACGTGGTCGCCGCCTCCGTACCTGCGTTTGAGGGAACGCCAGCCCAGGCCATTTAGACTGTAGTGATAACGCGTGCCAAACCGCGGTTCACTTGCGCCCCTCAGTCAGGGTCGGCAACAGCTGGCTAAGCTTCCGCCTGCCAGTTTTTTTTTTGCGGGAAACTGCTGGCGAGGGAAACGGCGGAAACTGGTGAAAGCCTATCAGCTCGACATACTTAATATTTATGTCGGTCTGTAGTGCCATTGTGTGGCTGCTCACCATTGGGATCGAGCTCAAGTCCAGTACAGTGTTACAGTGCTGACAGAAAGTGGTTTCTGCCATTGATGCTGAATTAAACTGGTAGCAGTCTGTTAAAGCCAGCAAGCGACATTTCCCCGGGCTACAATTCAGCCGTACCTCCAACGCCAGACAAGCGATCCGTCTTCCTGACGCTGACCGGGCCCGCCTCGGCAGGTTTGTGAACCTGCAGAACGGCGTAGTGGCGGGCCACGCTGCTGCT